TGTTTATTCTCATCATGAGGAAGCTCAAAAATAAATGTTGTGGAACTGCAGAAGAGGATTTCTTCATCGGGAACAGATGAACAAACCCTTGCAACCTTTTTGGGAGAAACTGCTCCTCTGGTGAGTTTTCCAGAAGAATAAGTGTAAAAGAATGGCTGAAATATTTTTTTTCTTTTGAAAAAAATATGGTTTCCTGTTGAGCAATCCAAGACTCTATTGTTTCTCAGGAAGCAAAGAGCTGCAGAATCTTAAAAAAAAAAAAAAGAATCTACACATTAGTTAGCACAGAAGACTAATGAAGTATCTATTAACATTATGTGACATGCCTGTGGAAGTATATTTATTGCCCCAAGAATTCACCAATGATAATTTTCTGACTAGTTTTGTTTGTTTTGTGTGATTTAGAGTCTATTGATATGAAATATAATTTAAAATACATGAGAATGATAAACAGTTTATTTTATTTATACAATTATTTTACTTTCTTCTTGCCAAGTACCTATCCAAATCTATCAAGAAACTGATAAATAAAAGTCTCAATCCTGGGCCCACTGAGGTAGGAAAGAAAATGATTGCCTGTAGTCAGAGTTAAGACAGTGCACTTTTACAAATAACCAAACATACCCAAGAACTGAGGTCAGAGGTCTTTTTGAGTGAACCAGCACAAGGATCAGCTGGAAATTATGTAATGTAAGTGCACTGCTGTTGTGGGACTGTTGTCTGTGATCTAGGGCTGAAGGTAAGGGCTACAGAGGCCAGCACCAACGGAGTGTGAACAGCGGAACAGAACCCACTCCAAATTTCCCATGGCTTGACCCAAGCTCTGCAACATCCTCTGCAAAGAGAAATAATATTTCAAGAGGACAAGTTAATCTTCAGTTGCTTGCCTTAAAAAAGTAATTCTCAGCTTTGTCAGTGCAGTGCAGCAATGAACCCTTTTGCAGTGGTGACAGCTTCAGAGTGATGCCTATTTCCCACTCACCAATGCCACCTGCAAAGTTTTTACTGAGCTACTGCAGTAAGAAAACTTATGAGAGTTATTTTAATCAATGATTTTCTTCCCAAGCCTTAATGTTGTTCAATTTAGGAAGTCATTAGAATGCTGGCATGAACGGTAGACAATAGTTACAGGTTTTAATGTATGCAAATGTGGGGAGGAACCCTTTCTCATCTTTTAAGAAACAGAAGGGATTAATCTAAAATGGCATACTTAATTACCCAAATCATGCCTTCTTCAGTGAAAAGCAATAAAAATGAGAGCCTGTGATTATTTCTGTATTTCTGAAATAAAATGTTGATGCCATTAGTTAAGAAATATTTTAGTGACAGTTTGAAACAAAAGTCTCCAATACACTTTCAATATAGATTTTAAGGGTTCATTATTCTTGGTTTGTTTTATGCCAGTTGAACATTAAAAACAAATTTTCTGAGGCTTAGGAAGCATGCATCCTTTACATGTAGGCTAATCCTCAAACAAACATGCCTTCAACAATCAGTCAGTTCACTCTGTATGTATAGCCAGGAATTCAAGTCACAGAATCCTCATAAGATGCTTATTTTAAAGTACTATAATTTCCCTGCTTATCCTGTACTTTCTTCTCTAATTCAATGAAAAACCAATTATTACATAGGCATAAGAAATGTTTCTAATTTGGCTTTTTCCAGATCTCCTCTTAGCAGATATTACTTTCTCACAGATTGCCCCAGTTTAATATAGAAACTGCATAAATAAGGTGTCAGGAAAAAAAAAGTCAGAAAAAAAAGGTGCACCTCTGTGGTTCGTACAGAGAGCAACTGCATGTGAACAGATACAAGTTTTCTGAAAGACATAATTCTACCCTGAGACTAGTTACAGCTGATTGAGGCCTAAAAGGTTCAGAGTGGCCTTTCCAAAGACTGGAGGCAGATCAAAATTTGTCTAGTGTCATGTCAGGGAAAATGTTCTAGTGCAGATTCATTCAAGGACTCACAAAAAACTGCAGCCATTTAAATTGGTTGTGTCAAAACAAGTCTTGCTACAAATTTTCTTGAAATTTGAAGACAAAAGGAAATTAAAAACTCCAGATCTCAGTTTTGTAGCTCAGTCAACCTTCTTCGTTTTCTAAGTCATGGGTGAAAAGTGCTTTCAGGTAGAAGCCCTGTAAAAACAGGTGATGTCATTTTAAAATAAAAACTTGCCATTCTAGCTTAATTTAATTTTGAGTTCTTGCCTTTATTTTAAAACAAAATTAAAATCAAATTAAGATTTGATAACATAAAGAATTTAGTCAACAAAAGCCTTGGAAGAAAAGCTATCCTTCCCTTATTCTAATTCCAGTCATTTTGTGAGATGGACTTTTCCCTCTCTCACTCTCATACCAGTGAATCACCCATGCAATGCTGGTCATTTCAATCTCAATTATTTATGCTTTTTCTGAAAATGTGAGATATTTCTGTAGAGCAATATATGTTCGGCTGTACTTTTATTATTTCAAATATATTTATATATTGACACCTTCCAGCATAACTTTATAGATATGTCATATTCTTCCTGGCAATTGGAAGGCTTTCAATCCCTAGTCAGCTATATGTCTAAATAGAGAGGAAGGTAATTATTGCTATATTGTAATAAGGTAATTGCTATATGGTATATATTGGAAGGCAATTATTGCTATATTGTCTTCTGTCATCTCTTCTGTATGATCTATACAGGTATTCAATATGGAAGTAATACTTTTTGTTTTCATTTTCATATATTTCAGTGACTTTAGATATATAAATATCTTTGTATCTATGTCCCTTGATCCCTGTAGGAGGGGAAGGTCAGAGCATTCTGCACACCACTGTGCTATTAAAGAGCTTCATGAAGGTAAAGAGGAGTCTGCTGGAAGGGCCACTGTGTGAGTTGCTCTGGCAGGATTTGGTATAATCCATCTGACTGTACTGCCTGTAAAACCTGTTAAGATACTGGTAGAAAAGTGCCTAGAGGGTAACCCTAAAGCTAAGCTTTCTGAGAATCATGGGTATTATTGTAAAGAAATTGCAGAACCTGGAGCTTTTGTAAAGCCAGGGAATGAGTTCCTGGTTTCCTTTAAGGCAGCAAGGATTTTGCTAGTGATGCTACCAGGTATACCTGTTCAGGTGAGATGCAGGGCTCTTCCTTCCAGCAAACTTTTGGGTATCAACAGGTCTAAAGAAGAGCATTTTTTTTCTCATCTAGGGGAACGTAAGAACTCTCCACAGCTGAATGATATGTGGGATGTGGGGCTAGAGACAAAAAAATAACAAGCCAAATTTTCCCCTAGACTATTTGCAGTCATCTGTAGTTATGTTGCAGATCAAGAAAACGACATAACATTTTTTTGCCTGTCAGTTTTACTGCAGAGGATCACAGGTTTAGCTACAGTAAACTACCTCACTTTGCCTTTCTTTCTTTTTCCTTTCCTTCCCGAATAGCTCAGACCTGAGGTTCTCCAAACCATGGTTACTTCACAAGGTGTTGTTTTACCCAAGCCCCTGGGCCAAACAGCAGGTGTAGCACAAGGCTGAGAGTAAGCCTCTGGGCAAAATGCTAATGGTCAGGCTGAACCTGCTTTGCACAGATGTGGGCTTCCTCTGAGGCTGTCCCTGTTACAGGGAAGGTCTGGGCTCTCCAAGTGGTTTGTGTGTACAGGCTCATAGACCTTGTAAGCAAGTCGTCCTATTCGCCCTGAATTTGAGACTGACTTTTTTGTTTTCTGGTGGAATCTAAGACCAGGTGGCCTTTAGCTTCTTGAAAAGCAAAGTTATGTACAGGGCTCATGTGATGATATTAATGATTGATGATTAGTAGAAGGAAATGCCAGGCACATGGCCTGTTCTGTAGGGGGTCATCAAGCTAGACATGGTAGCTGTATTGCAAGAAAATGCCTAAGAGCCTAAAGGCTTTCTAATAGCATTAAAAGTTTTATGTTCTGGAGTAAGGTAATCAAATCTCATGCTTCAGGGCACATGCTGATCTCCACAGGAACCAGGAAGGCATTTCCCACCACGAGAGCTTTATGCCGTTGTCTGGGTGGTTTCCATCTTTCCCCAGAGTGATGGTAAATGGAGTCTGTTGGAATCAGGACACTTGAACTGCATGGAGTGACCCCCACATACCTGTGTCCCCATGCAGCTCTTAAAGAGCTAAAGATTTTGAATCCTATAGAAATGAATGCATTATGACAGGAAAGCTCCTGCAAAATACCTTCAAAGTGAAACTCTAGGCCAGCTTTCAGTCTCTATTAGGTAGGTGCAGTGCTCATTGAATGCACTCCCAGAACAGAGAACAATACTTGGCAAACTGCTTCTGGTGAGGAAAAATGATTAATGTCATAAGTCAAGTGCTCATAAAATGGTGTGGCACTTGTACACAGTGTCTTTTCTCATCTTAGGTATGAGGCTAGTCACTGCATCAAAGCAAAGCAGAGTGTTCACAGCATCACTTTTGTTCTCCAGCCTCTAATGCACTGTCATGCCAGCCAGCTTCTCTGTATGCCCATCTGATAAAATCTGTGCTCTGTTTTGGCTGCCTCCTGCTCCTCTTCTACTTTTAATTGTCTCTGTGGCTTTCTTCTTCCCTTTTTTGTTTTTCTTCTCATTCTCTTCTGCCCAACTGAAGGAAATAATTTGTCAGTTGTTATTGAAATTTTTACTTTGATCTGGATAATGTAAAATATTTTAATCTGGAATGAAATATGATGCTACTACTTTGTCATTAGAAAAAAAATTCTCATGGGAACATTTATATAGGCATGTATAAATACACATAATTAACAGTAGCATGGACAAAACCAAATTGCTTCAGTAAGACAGTATTTACCATCAGTTCAAGCCAAGATTTCTTAATTTTTCTTGCTTGGAACACAATGTTTAAGAATGTTTTTCTTATGATGACACAGTCAATGTCCCTTTTGGGTCCAAAGTTAATATCCTTTTTGACACCTCAGTCAGTATTTTCCCCTAATAATACTCTATATTTTTATCATTATTATTCACAGCCTTGTAAAAGTTGTGATGATGCAGCCAAAGAAGAGCTTTGAAAAGCTACATCTCAGACACCAAGGTCAAGAAAAGCAATTGGCTCCTCATATGCTTTGTGAGTTTAATGACCAAAAAAACTTGAGTTTTTGTAAAACTAGCCCTCTGTGAAAGTTTTTGTGAAAGCTAGCCCTCTGTCTGAGAGAAAGAAGACAAAGTTGTCAAATTACTCTATCATTTCTTTTTATTTACTATAATAAGGGGGGAGACCCCCCCATTTCACTGGAAAATACACAAGTAGCAATTAACTAGGTACAAATGTAATGCAGACCATAACAGTCTTACAGCTGTCATTCTGCATGCAAATAGCAGAACAAGGTGAAACAATTCAGAGAAAATACTACTGCTGGAGAAAAACCACCAGTGTTCATCTTGGGATCTACCCAGAAATGCTGGAGCAGACGCACTCTCAAAACTGCGCACCTTTGAAGTAAAGCAGGAAAACAAGGACTGACAACATGCATCACACATCTCAAAACTGCGCACCTTTGAAGTGAAGCAGGAAAACAAGGACTGACAACATGCATCACACAATGGTCACTTGTACCTATTTCTTTCAAGGGGGCCCAAGATGATTTGATATGACTTTACCCACCCTTGTGAACTTGTCATGATCTGCTTGTTCTTTCCTAGGGTTTGAGACAAATGTCAGACTTGAGAAGTTGGGAGAAGATGAGATCTGTGGATTTTAAGAAGTGCTTTGGGGAAGGGAGAGTGATTAACCTGAAGTGGGCAAATAGTAAAGCTGTGACTTGTGATGCAGGAGGGTTGGCCTTGGAGAAAAGGACAAGAACTGTTATCCTGCTGCAGGAAAAGAAGGAAATCCAGTAGACAGAATATGATCAGATTTTTTCTTAATGGTTTTGCTTTTTGTGAACCAGAATGTTTCAGTACTAGAAAGCAGTGGAAGCAGAGATTATGAGAAACACAGCTGCAGATATGTAGGATGCAGCTGCAAACAGCTTCTAGAACATGATTTATTTGCTTCTTTGCTTCAGCAAAAGACCATCTTACATTCAGTGAGAGAGACTAGAAGTGGCCCAAAGTCATCAGCCAATCAGTCAAACACAACTCTCCTAGGCAGAGTAAGGGAGAATGCATAACCTGCATTTTATTCAGTGGGTTGGAAGGTAAGAGGAGCAGAGTGTCTGGGCAGGGAGAGAAGCATGCAGGAGATGTGAGAAGGTGAGTCTTTTTCATCTAGGAGGTTTAAGGAGCCAGTTTGTTGCCATTACAACATCACTTACAAAACAAAAGCCCAATCCCTAATGAGCTTATCTTTTAAAATAAGAGAAACTTTTCTTTCTCAGAGTACTTGTTATGTGCTCAGAGTGTGCTGTTCTCTTTCCAAAAGCTTTTCATCTTAAAGTGAGTTTTCGCCAGCCGGTCTGAGACGGAGCTCTGTGAAACAGCATGGCAAAAGAACAAGGCTGCATGCCATTCAACTTTAATAAGTCATGGGAAAAGATATTGTTTAGCCTTGCAGAGTTTATACTCTCAGATTTATAACTGTAAGTAATTAAAAGGAAGCAAGCCATCTTGGACCTGTCTATGCTCCAGCTCTTACAGGGCCCAGTGTCTCGCGTCTGGCATGGCTCGAGGGTCTGTGTCCTTTTTGAAAGAGAAGGAACTAATTGGGTTGGCTGCTCCTTGCTAATGGTGCAGGCCGCTCTGTGGGCATTGGGGAGAGTTCATGGGGTCTCCAGGCTGGCTAAGGAAAAAGAACTTTGCTAAACTTTTCCCTTCTTACAAAGCAGACTTTTTGGACTGTTGCCATCACAGCGACTCCAGTATTTGGGACCTTTGTACAAAGCTTTGGATCCTGAAGATTTGGACTGGGGAGTGGGTGCACATGCAAAGCCACAGCAGAGCTGGGGTTCCATGCTGCCTCTGGGAGGCAGGTGTGACCAGAAGCTAGGAGCAGGCTAGGGAGGCATGCAGAGGTGGCAGATCTCCCTAGGAGTCTGGACTGGCTTGTAAAATGCACTAGGAAGGATCCTGGAGTTCTAGCTCTCATATGACCCAATCTCTATATTCCACTGCATAGTCATTCAGGCCTTGTCAGAGGTGTGTGCTGTCTTTGTGACCCACTACCTAAGCTCTCTCCATATGATTACAAGTGTACCTCTTGCCACCAGACCTGTATACTCAAGTGGTCATGAATATTCATTATCAGCTTTCTTGATTTTGTTTTTTTTTTTTTTTTTAAGGTGATAAAAGCTGTAGCGAAAACTTGTGCCACCTGAGAAGGTGTTTTTTCAGTCATTTTGACTGAAAAAGCCTGGGGCAGCACACATTATACACTGTTATCTAGATTTTAATAAATTCAGAAACAACTACAAAAGACTCCCATTGTTCAAGAACTTTTTGTAGCTGAACATATGTGCTGAAGCACAGTGGAAAAAAATACTAGCAAATGTGCCCAGTGTCTAGAGAAGTTTAAATACAGCAATGGCAAGGTTGCTGTATTTAAACTGGTTGCTGATGCATAGTCTTGCCTGCTCTCTTCTGGGGTTTGGATACAACAAAACACCTGGGCTTGGAGCCACAGACCTCAAAATATCAGTATCAGAGCAGAGGATGATTTATTTTTCTTAAGTCCTGAACGTAGACATTTGCACAATTATTTAAAGATGTTAAGTATCAAAAGATGCAAGTAAAGATGTAAGTATTATCCTCTGGAGGCATGCTGGTTTCCTTTTGGCAAATTTGGGACAATAAGCAGGAACTGTGGCAAAACTACTTGAAATTCAGAAGGACCACTGAGATAAAACATAGGCCTAGACTAAAAGAGAAGAATACAGCATCAAAAGAAAGAAAGGCTATCCTTTCATAAGGAGAAAAATGTTCATAAGGAGAAAAAAGAAAAACAGGTAGTATCATCATGACAGAAGAAAGTATCTATTGGGCATAAGCCATTCTGCAGGAAAGAAATAAAATAAATGATGGAAAGGAAGTATTGACACTTAAAGTGGAGACTTTAGTCACAGAGATGGAAAATTTCTTATTACATTGAAGCATTAGTCTGCTAAACTTCTGGCTGAGACCAGTGGACGTGATGGTTACTGCCTTTGCCAGTCAGAACAGAGAAAGGGCTAAGCTGCACTGTGGGTGCCACTTGTCACAGAGGATCCACTACCAGCAGGAGTTTATGCTTTTGGCTGGCATATCCTCCCCCAAGCACTACTGCTGCCTCTGTCTCTGTGCTCTGGAGCAGATAGGATTGATGATGAGCATATACACAACAAGAAAAAGAACAAAGTGAATACTTCTGCCTCCTTCAGGTCCACTGAAAGTGGTTCACAGTCTTGCTCCTTGCTCAGAGGATTTCAGAACATGAATAACTTTACTGATGCTGATGGAACATTAAACATTCTACATATATCATTGAAACCAGTTTACTGGATTGGATAGTCTATCTCCATTCTAATAAACTCTTTCAGATGGCAAAATAGAGGATTTGCATGCAAAGTCCCCACTGAGAATGATCCTAGGAATGTTCAGACCACAGATTGTATCTAGGAATTATTTGGGGGTGCTGGCTGGCAGAGACCTAAAGCATACCTGGGAGCCCTCTAAGAGGAGCTGTAGAGACAATTGCATTGCAGTGCACAGGACTGTTCTGGGCACTGTGTAATTTGCTAACACAGGCATAGCCTCACTGTCTGAAGTTGTTTACTCCAGGGAGCTTCTCAACTCTGATCTGGATACAGGTTCCTTTGCCTCCCAATGATGTTCTGAAGTGAGAGAAAGCCAATTTCACACTCTTGGGAAGGAGACTTGAGTACACAAGTGAGAAGGGTGACTGACTATCCAGACAACTGTGGGACTAGAGTGCTCTGGCACACATTTCATCATTGGTCACAGTCACTCTTATTAGAGTGACTTCTTATATTAGAAGGTATTTCTTCATTTTGTGCCAGTCCTAGACCTACTTAATGCTTGTGGCAGCAGGTCTTTGTCTGCATCTATTTTTCTTCTGCCCCTTTTCAATGGAAAATGGCTATGTTAGCTCCTGAATTCCTTCCAGAGCACTATCTGGACATGAGCAGTTCTGTAATTAAACCAAACTATTTTAGCTCACAGGAATAACTGAGTGAAATTTATCTGAGAGGAATTATGTATGTGATCCCAATGGAAACCTGGAAAGACTTTTATCAGCATGTCAGAATAATTTCACAGCATAAGTAGACGGGCCTAGAATAGACTTATGAGATGCGTGTGTATTACTGAGAGCTTTCCTATGTTATTTTCATTGCACTTGCTTAAAAACACCCTGTATGGAAACAAAGAAGATTTTATTTTTAATTGCACATTGGGCAAGCACTTAGGAGTTATGTCTTGAGTCCAGCAAAATGACTACTCTCAGGATGAGAGCTTCAGAGTTCATCAGAACTGCTCGAGTAATGGTAAGTGGAGGTTCATCTTCTTCCATTGCATTCATGATGTGCTTCACACTACTAGAGACTTTAATGGTGTTAAAAGAGGTCAGAAGGGGTTTTGAATCTCAGAACATCTGTCTGTCAAGACCCACTTCTGGGGTCATGACCCCACTTTCAATTATACTGGCAAGCTTGTGCATTAAAGTAAGGTTGTGACCTTTGTTTATGAACTAGTGGCTTAAAATAAGTTCTGGGAAGAGGGAATAAAAAAACATTTGCAAAGCAGTGTATACTTGGAATGCATGTCAAGTGTAGGGTACTTTCCAAAGAGACAAGACTAGGGTGAAGTCATGCACACATGCAATGCTTTGTATTTCTGTTTAGGTCGTTCTTTTTCTCCATAAAAAGGAAAGAACAAACCATTCTCAAGGAGGAGAGAAATATAGCAGCAGTAGAGTTCTGTTTATTAGGTGATTTAGATCTCTGTCCTGAATTTAAATCATCAAAGTGCAGGAGTTAAACACCTAGAAGTATATGGTAAAATTTTCCATTGGAAACTGGGGGTTCATTTGTTGCAAATCAAAATACAGTGTATGCTACAGCAGATTAAGGTATTAGCCAGTCAGTGGATGACTGTGAAACACAGACAGGACCAGTCCTGAACAAGTCACACGTCATCCTAAGATTTATCAGATATGATATTTTCAGCATAGAATGGAGATGAGTCCAAAGCATCACTGGGAATTTAACCACTGGTTAAATACCTTTCCTAATGCAGTTTGTTCAGCAAAGTTTATTTAAACAAAGCATGTGGAGAGGATGATTGAAATAGCCAGTGGATGACAGTTCTGTCTTGCAAGGTAGAGACTGAGAAGGACATTGAAAGAAAGCATGGGTTACACTTCCTAGGTACATTGGTGAGTAAAGGAAAGCAGGGGAAAGAACACTCTGAGATTAAAGACCATGTTGCACTGATTTTTTTTTTTTTTTTTAATATGACTCTGAATCACTCTGGGTTAGAAACTGAAAGAACTGGCAGTACTGCAAAGTTTTAGCAGACTATGATGAGTCTGGAGCAAGGAACCAAACTGGTTTTAAGACACATCTTGCTGAATGGAATTGTATGGTTAGATGTATGCAGTATCAGGAGACAGGGATCAATTATACAGACATTGAATAGGTGACATTGCTAGTCCTCAGGAACAAGAATATCCTTCTGCCAGTAGTGTATCCTCAGTATGGCACATCACCCAAAACTCTCTTTAGCCTGACACTGGAACACATACAGAAAACTAAGGTGGAGTTAGGTCTGCTGCTCTCCAGCAGATTTTCTGATGAAGAGGGTTGTTTTCCAGATATGTAGCCAACATTGTGCATTGCTCAATGTCATAACATTGCTTGCAGTTATATGCAATTCTTCTCACTCTACAGTGTTTACCACTTCTAAATGTGGGTAGTCAGTCGTAATAGCATTCTTATAGTGTTAAGAAATGTCTTCCTACCCCATTTGCTAATTTCATTTTATGTGAAACAAATGTGATTTTCCTCAGTCCTTAACTATTTTAATTCCATATATTCTTTTCACGATCAATTGAAATGGTTTTACTGAAAAGTTTACACAAATTTCCAAGTAAATGTTTATTCCTTTTCCTCCATCTGTGATTCAGGTGGAAACTTGATAAGGATTACAAAAGTGACAGATGCTGCTTCCACTTTGTGCAATTTACTGACTTTTCAGACTAGATTTATTCTGGAGAAAGAAAAGACAATTCTTACTCTGATTCTTTGTAGAGAGTGCAAGACTGTTGTTCACACAGTTCAGTTATGCAACAGAGAGCAGGCAACACTCTTAGCCTTCCAACAATCCACAACTACATTGAAGCTCAGGTCCTGATTGGAGTGAAGAAGACCTGAACACCATGTGTCAAGACACTTTTCTGTGTCTTTCAGCAAAGGGCAGGTGTCATATTCAGCAGCAGATCCACATTTTCCATAGTATTTTTTTGTTGTCTTGATGCCTCTCACCACAATCAACTCCAGGTGGGCTTTGGCTTTACAAATCCCATCCCTGAACAATTCAGCAATGTCTCTGTGCTCCCTCTGTGTCACCTCTCCCTGCCTTGACCTCTTTTATATTTGCTCTCTTCTTATATTTGAGGCTGATCAGGATATTCTTGTTCATCCATCCAGGCCTCCTGTCAACGTTCATGATTTCTTTCATTTCAGAATGGGCGGTTCTTGATATTGGAGGAGGTGATCCTGGAAAACCAGTAAGAAGCATCAGCACAGTTGAAGAAAAACAGTGAGAAGCACCATGGAGAAGAAAGAAGCAAAGAGCACAGAGCAACAGGCAGCAGATGTTATGAACACAATCCAACTTCCAGAACCACCCACTGCTTCACTGCAGGAATTGGGGTGGACTGAGTATATCCTGCAGCAAGAATAAGGGAAATTGAGACTAAGAATTAAGGAGGATAGGTGTTTGACTTAAGGTGAGCCTGAGGAATGAGAGGAAAAGATGTTTACTTGAGTGTTTAATTGTTTATGTTATCCTTTTTTTTTTTGATAACTGCATCAATGATTGAAAATTTCTTTTAATTGGTAATTCATTAAATTAAGTAAAAGTTGCCCAGTTTTTGCCTTTGAAGTTGGCAAGTGCAATAGCCAAACCTTCATTTCATGAACATCCTTTAGCATATTCTGCTTTGATAAAATAGAGATGCAATAAAATCTTTGGAAACTACAGGTAAGATTAAGAGTCTTATCCTGTCTGAGTACTCTGAAGAGAAGAATATATACAAAACTAAAGGAAGCTTTGACTGCATTAATACTAGGCTGACCTAAAGGTAATTAACGTTACCAGCTGATATACTGGTTTGAATTTACTCCTGTACTTCTGAAATTGCTCAACTCCCAGACTACATCTGGTTTATATCTGTTTTGGAGTCATGGAACAGACACACAAAAGGCTGCACCCATCTCTAGCTATTTCCTATTTCTTTGTATGTTAAAAATGCAAATTATGAAATTGAATAAACAACAATAAAAGCAAAGAAACAGTGTGAGTCTTTCTTCTAATAATGTTTCAAAAACTTATTTTATGAGATTCATAACAAGCTTAAGAACTCCAAAAGGGCATGGTTGGTCAGAGGACCCTCTACTACGTGGCCAAGAAGAGTTGCATGTGAAGACATCCCAATATATTAAAAAGAGTATTCTGTCAGATCCTCACTAACAAAGGACTATATAGCATGTCCATGTCAGCATGTTGTACTCTCAGAGGGTATTAATTCTCAGCTTAGCATCCTAAACATATGAAAGTAAGTGGGAGTTGGAGTGGCAGCACCTTCTAGGGGTAGGTGAACCTTTTCATCCCCCATTGGAGCAAGGTCATTTAGCAGCCCAGGAACACTCCTGTTTCCCTTTGGCTGGTTCTCTTGCCTTTTTGGCTTTTTTCTCCCCAGGTGCGAGGGTGGATGAGAACTTGCTGAGTTGGTTTTGAAAATGTAAAATGTGAAGAAAGGGAAATTAGACCCTGGCTGTGGTTTAAATTGAAGTGGAGATCAATGTCCAGCACTTTCAAGCATAATGGGTGTGTACACATTTTGGGAGCAGTTCTGTAAGTTTGATGTAGAGTAAGTCAATCTGCTTGTGTAATTCTACCATACCTTGTCCAGATTCCTGTCTGCAGCTATGTTTGTTTTAGAAAATGTCTCTTCTAGTATTAAAAAAAAAAATCAAAACAAAAGTTTTGTTGTTCTAGTACAGTTCACAGTAAAATCAGGATTAGAATTCTGCTTCTTAAAAACAAAGGTCTGCTAGCTGCCACACTGACTAAGCCACTTCATCCCTTGTTACTCTTTGAACTCCTAAGTGGACTCAAAGATTTGCCAACTACCACAAAGCAGTGCGTGGAAGCAAAGGCCCTGTAGAAGGCTGGGTGGCTTCTAGTGTGACTAGGTGATTTCTGATTACAAATGAAGGTGGGAATTATGTCCCAATGGGTGCTTCTAATCTTCATGCTGAGGCCGCTGCATGGTCCCATGGCTCCTGCTGGAAGTAGGAGATGTGCTAGATGCAGTTTCAGCACATATAGTGAAGAACATTTCCTGTTGCCATCTATCTCGTTTGTATGTGGGACAATTATCTATGATTGGGAGATCCTTTTTCACTTAATAGTCCCTTCCTCTGCAATTGCACTGAACTTGAAACCAGAGCAGTTTTTTACAGTTCCTGTTGAGATCCAGAAAGAGTTCTGTGGAACTAGTGGAAGAAAATAGATCTCCAACATTATTTGTTTTAATGTCTAAGGGGATGGGTTGCTCTAGCAACTGACTCAGGAAGCACTGAAAAGGATGGAGTAATCTAGAAAATGCTATACTAATGGCCTGTTTTACAGAACTCTGAGCAATGGTGAGTATCCCTTTGTCCTGGATACTTACTCCATTCATAGCAAATATGTTATTCTACTAAGTTTCCCTCTGGAAAGCTTTGTCTTGTGAGTAGATGTCTGCCAAACTCGCCTGAAGACAGGGTCTGACCTGTGTGTTCTCAAAGTTTATAATCTCGGAGGATGCAAGTCTTTCAGATACATTGGTTTTACCCTGCCAAAACAAGCTGAGAAATATCACTCTAAAAATAGCACTGCCTTTTGGCTCTGAGCGTGCTTTAGGTAAGACATTCCTAAAACTTAAAATAATTAATAAATTACTCTGCAGAAACAAACTGCAAAGCTGAAGAGGATTATAAATTTTTCATTTTTTATTTTTCATTCTTTACTCCTTTTAGGGTCACCACATTTTTAATATACAATGGTTTCAGTAGGTTTTTATTTGTTGTTTTTGTTCGGTGGTTTGTTTGTTTTTGAGTTTTTTTTTTTGTGGTCCTAAGATCTCAGGTGATAAAGATTCTACCCAGGAACTCTGAATAATGCAGAATCAATTTAAGTTAGGTGTTTGCTGTATAGAGGGATGAAAGGAATATCTCCAAAGAGATAGTATTCAAATAAATTTATCCTCCTCTTAAGTAAGGTTCCCTGTCTCATCTATCACTTACAGCTGCAGTTGAACTGAAAACTCTGGTACCTTGTTTCATTGGAAGAACCTGATGAAACATTATTAATTCCTGCAGCATGAGCAAAACAAGTGTTCAATTGTTGACCAAAATGGTTTTTTGCCTGGGGATATTCTGTCATCCTTCTCATCATGACACTGAGTCTGTGAAAATACACTTTTGATACATATGTGCTATGCACATGTTTTGCAAGTTAGGAAATGTGAACTCTCCACTGAGAGGTGAATTGTTTTGTCAGCTGAATAAGCCTGGGAATAAAACAGAGGGCAAAAATCTATAAAAGAATTTAAGACTGTAATTCTTTTTCAGGCACCAATGCTCACTGGGAAACAGATGAATGATAGGAACCTAAATACCTATGTGGATCTTGGCCTATATCTTGTTGATCTTCGTCCAGTGCCTTTTCTTGATGACTTCTCTTTCTCTAATCATCTCCACGTTTCCTGGAGTCCTGGTTTATAGCTATTTTGAGATTCACCTTGCAATACAAGAATGAAGGATGATAATTCTTTCTGGGCTTTGAGTTGGTAATATGAAGTCTGACACACCTTGCAGTTTATATGAGAGGTCCATCAGTGTGCTGGCTTTGAAGGTGCCCTTGTAATGGTTCTTATGTGAACTTGGCTGCCTGTCAGCAGCATGACTGCACAGTTTTGGTAAGCTTGGAAAGCTCCTTTAAAGGCTTGCAAAAGGGAAAGGCCTCATTTCAGCACATTTTTACCAGTGACATAATCCTCTCTTAATATTTTTGTATATAAAGCATCATGTCATTTCCCAGGTCAAGAAACTCATTCCCAAAGAATGTATGCCTCTGACTCTGGGAGAGAGTGTTTTTAAACAAAAAATTGTTGTTGCTGTTCAGCAGCTTTCCTGGGTGTCTCATTCTTTAGCTGATCCACATTCTTTCCCAGTGAGCAAGAAGATGATAAGGCACTAGTGCCTATTTATAACTTGGCAGAAATGCTTGTCTAATGATGCAGTACTTGGTGAAGAAAAAGGAGAGAAAAAGCAGCCCAGTCCTAAATGCTTGCCCTGAGTTCTATTGTAGGTTATACCTCTGTGTTGGCATCCTTGCTGGTATGTGGTGGGCACCATGTGTGACTTGGCCTTTGAGAGCAAAATAAAACTATGGGTTCAGAGCTGCTCAAAATGAGTCACCCAGAAACCATGTGTTCTTTCATCTCCTCACAGTTTTGTGATTGATTTTTGTTTCTCTGAGAATGGCTATTTATATGATGGTAGTACTTGTAGGCCCTGATCCAAAGTGAAGCCTGCATTGCTAGGCTGTGTGCAAATACATGGTGAGAGACAGGCTCTGCCCTTAAAAGTCAGTGATCAAAGAGACCCTGACAACAAAAGATAGGACAGGAAATGGATATGATCTGACTGTCCAAAAATTATGTCATAGTTCAATCACTTGCATACTGAAGTATCATTTACTTTTCATCTTCTCCCTCCAAACGGTTAAAAATTAGGTGGAAGGTAAAACAAAACTCCAGAGGCAAGAATTCAACTTTGGTGAATAACTCTGGTCATCCTTGTTTGCTGGATGAGAAAAAGAGGGATCTTGGTTCTATTTTCTACAGATGTCCTCACAACAGTGGTATGAAGATGGCAATTTTCCAGCCTTGTTGATTTTGTGACTCGAGTCTTTTACTTTCAGTTTAAATCTCCCACATTAAATATATATGACATCAGAAATGAATTGTTATCAGCTCAGAGGTAGCCTCCATACAGAACAGCTTTCTTTTAACACCTTTTTCAGATGGGATTTTGGGAGAATTGACAAGGAACCTCCTTTTTGCCAGGCTGGCAGTCTTGTTTTCTAATCTGGCAGGGAATGGACTGATTATTTGATTCTTTTTCTAAGAGGTGGGAAAAGCTCAGTATTAGGAAAGGAATGTTAGGAACAGACAACACAGCTTTAGCAAATTTTCAATGAACATGACATTTTTCTTTCTGTGAGGTCTATATCCATATTGTTTCACTCAGCAGAAGAAAAAGCAAGGCACCACTTCACCCACACAGGCTGTCTTCTTGGATGTAATTTTCTGGTGTGTCTGGTGTGCTAATATCTGTTATAGAAAAGATTTGTGAAGTATGATTTGAATAAAACTAATCATTTTCTAAAGATATCAGAGTTCTACTGGAATCACTTCAAAGTGTAGTGACTGCATCAGTGGCTGACACCCTTTTTAAAGACTTTGGTAGGATGATCTTTTAATTCCCCACATATTTAGTCAAATTGTACTCTTTACTGTAAGAAGTTTTTGTTATGAGCTTTGATTAGGGAAAGCCAGTCTCTGCTTACATCTGTAAATATTTGAGCTAGTAAAATTTGAGGAAACTGCAGCCCCATTTATTTAATATATTAATTAACTTATTACATTTGTTTATTATTACCCTGAGTCATGAGCAATACTGCTCTGGAAATTTAAGCATGTGATGGACAAAAGGAACTTCCTGAATGCCTGGGCCAACTGTAATGGAAAAGTGAGCTATAAACCCCCTGCCTAGTACTTTTACTAAAAATATCTTTTTGAAGTAATGCCTGCATTGTGTTTAGGAGCCACAGTCCTAGACTATCAACATAATGTGGACAAAATTGTCAGGCAAGATCAAAAGGGGGTGACTATTCCAGAAATTTATGGTCTCTTTAAGAGAAGATGTCA